TAGTGCACCGCGACGTCCCCCTCCCGGCAGAGCAGTGTGAAATTGATAAGCAGATTTTGGAATGGCTAGAGAAACAAATCATTAAACCAAGCTGTTCTGATTACGCAAGTAATATCGTGTTAAGTAGAAAAAAATGCGGTTCATTTAGACAGCAAGCAGTAACTTCCAGTTCATAGTGCACTGCGATGTCCCCCTCCCGGCAGGGCAGTGTGAAATTGATAAGCGGATTTCGGAATGGTTAGAGAAACAAATCATTAAACCAAGCTGTTCTGATTACGCAAGTAATATCGTGCTAAGTAGAAAAAAATGCGGTTCATTTAGACAGCAAGCAGCAGTAAGTGATCTTTATTTCAAAATAATAGAATACAGAGTGAGAATGACGTCGGCTCAGTAGAGGATATAGGACCACAGCGGGCAGCGATGTACGAAGAAACATGTCTAGGCATAGAGGCAGTAAGAGTGCGAATGGTGTCCTAAGGGATGGCTCTCCCTCATTCAACCATTTGCTACAGTTCATCTTCTGAGTGAGGCAGGGGCAGAGTCTGCAAATGGCATCCAATGTCATCCCACGCATGTTCGATTGGTGACAGTTTAGGGGATTATGGTGGCCAAGGAAGCATCTGTATACCTTGCAGAGCATGGTGGCAGATGCGAGCACTTTGAGGTCGGGCGTTACCCTGCTGAAAAATTGCATTAGAAAGCCCCTGAAGGTAGGGGATTGCCACGGGCTGCAGTACATTATCCAAATATCGTTGGGCTGTCATAGTGCCCTGAATACGAACTAGAGGTGACCTGGAATCGTAGGCAATAGCAACCCAAACCATTATGCCACGTTGTCGTGTGGTGGAGTATTCCACAGTTACTGTCAAATTAGATCTGTCTCCACGTCGATGCCACACACTTATGCGATGACTTTCACTGGATAAACAGAAGTGCAACTCGTCTGAGACTACAACGTTTCGCCATTCTGTCATCCACATCGCTCCAGTCCGGCACCATTCTAAACATTGGCGTCTATGCTGTGGGGTCAATGGCAGTCTTAACGGACATCGGGAGTGCAGGCCATGTTCAACCAATCGATGGGGGAATGGCTCTAGTCGACACGGGAATATCCAGGGTTTCTTGCACATGCTGCAGAATCGCAGTACAAGTGACTTGCGGGACTGCCACAGCTTGTCAGCATATGCATTGATCCACGCGTGCTGACATCACTCTGGCTGCACGTGCACCCCTCCTTCTTCCCACGTTTCATTGTTCCAACCATGTTTGCCGTAGCCGATGCACCGTGCTCGCATCCATGTGGGTATCAGCTGCGATTTAACGTAAGGACCAACCCGCCCTTCTCAGTCCAATCACCATACCCCTCGTAAAATCGTCTATCTGGTGGAAGTGCCTTCGTTGATGCCGGCCTGGCCATTCTCTCCTGTTACATATATCCTCCGGGACAAAAACCAACTTTCTTTAATAATTCGTCTGGCAGAAGTAACAACATGAATATTGCCCATTTTGCATGTTCCTTTCCTTATATCTTACTTCACGTGCATCAGAGAGCTGTGCATTTCGCATAACTCTGTGACATGCATCTACTCTAAAATTTGCATAAATTTCTGACCACTTCTTCTTGGTGTTGCATTTTCAATGTCAAGCAGTGATCCGTGAAAGACTTAGATATTCACATAATTATGCATTTAATTGATTTAAGTTCAAATTTTGATAAACTATCAAATAAAAAACCTGACATACAGTTTTTAATAAGTCATAATAGGTTAAAATTATATCTGTTGTAGGCGTAAATGTAACTTAATAAAATAATTTGGTATTAAAAGGAACGGAATATTAAAACGGTGATAATTGAGAAAGATTGGAAGGAGGGGAAAGGGACTGTCCTGAAGAAAAGCAGGAATTGAGATATTTAACCAGAAGTTAATTAAGTTGTTATTATAGGTATGGGAAGTTTTGTACAGTACAAAGTCCGTAATCTGGACTCATCAGGACTTCAGCGATTCCGGATTAGGGGTTTTTCCGGATTTTAGATCATCAATTTAAATCTTGTAAGATGGCATGCAGAAATTATACAATTAAAAATATTAAACCACAGTTTACGAAATAAAGAGCAATTAGGATCAAAAGGGTATCAAAATTTACAAGAAAAAAAAGCTTAATATTTATTTGTTTACTTTATTAAACATTTCTTTCAATGTAAGTTGTTTAAGTTGCTTCTTTTTTGTACTAATACTTTCTCTTTAATTTTATAAACAGACATAATTTCTTGTTCAGTTACAAAGTTCCACCATTCGGAAGTGGTATTTTCTGAATGTAGAACCATACTACAGATTTCGCTGTCCGTTATTTGATTGATGATTGGGGCATTGTCGTCGCAATGAAAAACCTCTGTTATATCATCTTCATTTATTACCACTTCTCCACATTTCTTTACAAAATCCAATAACTGGAAAATTTCACCTTTAGTTTGCAATGTCTGAAAACCTTAAAATTCGCGGCTATCATCTTCATCGTACTCACAATGAAATATGGCAACTGGCCATAAATTATGCCAAGCATTTTTTAACGTATCTGGAGACACATCCTCCCAACACGCATGCGTAAATGTATAGTGCGTATACGGGCATGCGTAAAGCATACAAAAAAAAAAGTTTGTGGCTTTAAGGTCCAGATTATAGATTATTCCTTATAATGGACATCCAGATTACGGACTTTGTACTGTATTTGAGCCTTAAGAAAATATGAAAATTTGAGCCTTAAAAATATCATGTTATTTTTATCTGCTTATGCCTCATTTAAAAATTGCAAGAGCAGTAAATTATTTTCAGTTCTTTTCATGCTATAAATTGGTGAATTATACCCAGGTTTAAGTAAGTTGGCTCTTTGATGATCTTTTACATAACATAAATATGAGCCATTGCCATATTATATTACATTATATTAGTGTATTAAATGTATCGGCTATGTTCAAGTTGCTAAAAATATTTAATTGTATGCAACTTAATTATGATTTCATAGTTTAATGAATAAGTTTTCATGTGATTCTGAGAGTGATTCAATCAGCAAAGGTGTTAGCTTTACAGTTGATAAATTGATATGGTAGAATACCAGAAATCCTTAATAATTGGGTTCGGAGGTTTTGCAGATTGTAGGATTTTGCGTATTTCAGGATAGAAATGATGAACTGTAATATTTAGACTAAAGTGCAAAATAAATAAGGACATTAAGGATATATGTAATAAAGACATATGAAAATAAGGGCTATTAACTTAGCATAAAATATTTCATTTTTTTACATGTTTCAAACATTTTTCTGATAGAGGTTTGTTTTAAAACTTTAGGGTGCTCCAGAGCAAATTCTTTTTTGTTAATTGTATAAAATCATAATTTGTTGCTCTGTTTTAAAATTTTTAACCATGTTCCAAACTTTCATCAAAAGCTATTTTCTCACTCCTATTAAATTCACCATCTGTGCTAGTGTCAGAATAGTTTTCTTGCTGTGTCAAATTCAAAATAGAACCAATAATTTAATTATTGGTCATCTGGTATACCAGTGTTGGTTCATCTGGACACATTGTCCATTCAGTGATATCATCTTCTTGCAAAGTTTTCTCATTTGTTCTTTCAAATACAGAACCAATTCCCCTTCTTTTAACCTTTGCTGCATTGACCCTAAATCCAAAAAAATTGTCCATCATTGCTCTCGGTTTCAATAAAACACAGAAGTTTGCCATTATGCCAGCCATTTACTGATGCTGTTTGGGAAAAGGAATTCCATGATTCTGCTAACAAACAGATGCAGTCTTTGATTGTTTTATATATATATATATATATATATATATATAAAAATAATCACAAAATAAAATGGAATGGTCTTTTGAAAGAATTTTTTTAGAAACTTGAATTTATGGTGATATTTAATACTGTGTATTATGTCCTGGTCCATTGGTTGGATCAATGATGTAGTATTAGGGGGCAAAGAAAAGGGGCCATGACAACCTTAAAATGGTTGCATCTGGATGTATAGTGCACTTGTCTAACAATAGTAAAATCTTGCAATTTGATGGTAATCCCGCATCGTTACAGTACCTTCTAGCCTCTTTAACAAAAGGTTCAATAAACCATTCGGTCGTAAGTTGTTTCGTGAACCAGGAACTTTTATTATTCCTGTATGTCATAAGTAAGGATTTTACTTCCTTAAGAATTCTGGGATTGGTGTTCTGACCTATTAGCATTGGTTTACATTTGTACGTTCCTGCTGCATGCTAAAATATTCTTTAGCTTCTTTCGCCCATCAGCCGCCGAGCGGTAAAGTCGCTGAACACTGGTAGTTCAGTCCGAGGTTCGAATCCCGCGAATTGGCTGGCTGCATGGGTGTTTTCGTGGTTTTCCCCATGTGTAACGTGTATACGAGCCAGTTTCCTTTAGAAAGTCCTCCATGAAGGCATCCCTTCCCTTAGGCAGATAGCCCTCTAGGCTTTGCTATAATTAAATAACCTAACCTTTAGCTTCTTTCAACCCTGATGGTGCACTTTCTTTGTGTGGTACAAATGTCTTTGTGACAAACATTGCCAAAAATGTCCAGTCTCATCCATATTTAAAAACCTATTCATGGTCTCAATGATTTGGGAGATATTCCCATTATGACATTATTTCATAAGTATATCTGTTTTTTTTTTTTTTTTTTTTTTTGGTATTTCATTCTCCATGTTATGGTTTCCTGAATCTACAAACTATTTACATCTTAAGAGGTTATGCTGATTATAGGTCAGCAGATTTTCAGTATTTGACTGTGTTCTTTATTTCTTTGATGCAAAACTAGCACAAAATCTTTTAATCTCATTTTTGACAATTGTTTATGCAAATAATTTCTTATATGTATTTCTTAGTGTATTCATACCATTTAAACTATTTAGTCCTTAAATGTAATTTCTTCTTTTATTGTTTTATTTTTAGAATTATTTTCTAAAGAAATCTAACTTATGTTGTTGTTCTAGTATGTGTTGGTGTTTTGAACAAACTATTAAATACTTTAATGGATGCAGAGAAATCTTCAGCACCAAAGATAGAGGCAAAGTTCAGAGAGTTCTGTTTATCTGCTAAGAAATCTGAAAACAGATTTGTAAGTATTAGAAATTTTTTGCATTGAATAATTGAAGTTATAATAAAGCTTGCATTAGATTTTCTTCAAAATGTCAAGCATTAGATTTTCTTCAAAATGTCAAGCATTAGATTTTGTTCAAAATGTCAAGCATTAACTTTTCTTCAATTTGATCAGTTATGGTGCTTTAATCTTTCAGTAAATAGATGTGTGTTATGATGTAGGCAGATGCATCTTTAGGCTGAAGTTAATAAAATCAATTTGTGGAATAATTTGCCTGTGATATTTTAAGTAAAGAAAATAAATAATATAGTCCAGTGAAAAAATAATATATTACGATAAACGATATATTTTGTCGTAAGAAGTGCATCATCTATGGCCAAAATACTACCAAACAATGGAGTTAGCTCTTGACTCTGTTGTCATTGAGAGAACTATTCAACTACATAAGAGTTTTTATGGTTTTCCTTATATGTCTGTCATGATGGTAGCTATTAGCAATTAGCTGTAGTGTGCATTGCCATATTTAATCTTAAATACCACTTGGTATCAAAACATGTAAGAATGTTATGTATAGAACCTATACATAACTTGTAGGTTGAAATACTGCACATCATTTTCAATAGCCTTGTATAATGATTATTTCTCAGACTTATGCTTTTTTAGCTGTGCTAATTTTAACCATGATTTTGGATTAATTATGGATGTCACTACTGATACTATACCAGTTAATCGAGAGCTGACTGTACTTGCTACAGCTAAGTAATAACTCCTATACTAAACAGAAGAAAAGGCTTATATATAGAGCCCATAATGCTTTCCATTAACAACTGTAGACTGTATAATTACTGAACATTAGGTAGGTTAATTTAAATGTTTTAAAATTATTCAAATTTGAAAGTTTACTGTGTGCATTATATTTTACAAAAGTGAAAGGCAAAATTTAAAAATACATGTATAAATTACTAACAATCTTAATATTACTTGCCCTAAAAAGACAAGTGAGCAATCTCATAACTGAAGACAAAAGACCTTATATTTTGATTTCAAAACATATGTATTACATAATGTATTTTGTTATACTATTTGACAATTTTATAGCGGTATAAAAAATTATACTGGTTATGATAATCATAACCTTCCTCTTACTAATACTTTTCAACCAATATTTCGTATTCAATATTTAGTTTATTGCAGCAGCTTGTTAAACAGAAAGGTATTTCAAAACTTTTGACTTACCTTCCAGTTAGCATTCAAGGATGTACCTTTCCAAGATAAAAAATTTATTTTACATATTTCATTTGGTCAGAAATTTTCATACATCCAAAATTCTATTTTACAAAATCGTGATTTAAGTTATTACTGACGTCTCAAAGGTTGAACAAGTCGGATTTTTAATTTTTTTGATATGATCATAAAACTTGAGAATTAACAGTTCATTAACATGTGATCACAGCAGCAGAATATTAAAAATACTCATAAAAAGACAAGCTGTATCATGAAGTGCACAGCTCATATTCTTGGCTTAGAAATTTAATTTATTACATATTTTAGAAATCCCAATGAATGCGTCTTTGTTCTTGTTCAAAGGTACCACAAAATTTTCACTTGCACTTCAAAATTAACTATTGCATTACCAGCCCATCAGGGACTCTAGAGACTAATAAACATATTATAAAGTATCATTTATATTTGAAAATAGGTTTGGATCTTAAATAAAACATCTCTTCTGTAAATAACATTCTTTAATAAGCCTATTACACGTGTAAATTTTTTGCTCATTCTAAAAGTTGTTTTGTTGCCGCATTAAAGACACAAAACTAACATTAGTGTCTGCAAAGGCATGAAATTGGCATGTTAAAAAAATCTGCTTTTGTCTCAAGTGTATGTTAGTCTAACGTTGTGCATCTGTCTTCTAACACATGGAAAATTTATTAAAATCTTGTCAAATTGACCAAGTAGAGTGAAAGATGTAGGGAAGTGTCTTTTTTCCTCCTCCTCCTCTTTTTTTCCCTTTGTGCAGTGTGCCTATTTATATGTATATTGAACAGTATTTTATTTAAATCTTAATGTAACACTATTTAATATTTGTTACCAGCGACTCCTATATAAACATAACATAAAATGTTAATTTTTTAAGTCGACTTAGATGTATGATTTGGTTTCCATTAGAAAACATTTCACTAAACCATTCTTTCTCTTAAATAACTGTCATTAAAATACTTTTGCAATAATATAGATTTCTCTGTTTCCATATATGCTACCATTTTACTGAATAAATAGTTGTTTAGAGTTAGATATTTTGCAATAATAATGTTTCCCCAGTTTGTATATTAAAATGAGACTGCATTGGCCTTGTGTATATTTGAATATATGTTTTATTGAATTTGCTGTTTTGAATTGATCCAGGCCTTGAAATTAAGTGCAGGAAAGTTACTGGTAATTTTGATCTGGAAAGCTGGAGTTTTTGATGAAGTTATCATGTTTTGTCATAGTTAACAATTATATTATTTTTCAGGATCTTTCTTGACTCTTCTTAAGTATGGTAACAAAATATTTAGTTTTATAATACCAGCTATTAGGATAGCATATTTTATATTTTTTCAAAGTATAAAATCATGTATAGAGATGTTTGCATGTTAACAGTAATTCTCGTATTATTAATTTTATCAGGTACTCACAATGTATACAGTGGAACTTCAGATCATGAGCAAATTGGTTCATGCACAAGTTACCTAAACAACAAAAAAAAAAAAAAAAAAAAAATGCCTTGGAGGATGAATTTTGTCTTGAGTTGCACTCAAGTTGGCAACATGAGGTTTTCAAAGCTATCTTGAGGTTATAGTATATACCACATCATTAACACTCTGGGATGTCTGGAGACATTTTAATAGTTCCTGGTGCTTTACTCTCATTATAAGAGCCTGGCATCAACTTATAATAACATGAATAGAGAACCTGGAAAAAATTATGTCCAGATTAAGTTGCAGGCAGAGACTGAGCACTTTTACATTTGGGGTGTTTTTCTTCTGTAGCTGGAAATTTAACAATGAATATGGGAAGAGGTCGCCAGAGGACTAAAAAAAAAAGCCCAGCAGGAAACTAACTTCAGGAGCAGCAACAAAAGGTGATTGTGGATGAAATGTCTTCTAAAGAAGAAAGAAAAAGAAAAATTATCTTAGTTCTGTGATCTGCAATGTTTATGCAAAATTTTCACTTAACATTATCTCCTGCTGAAGCAGTACCAATCTAGAATATGAGCAATTTGAATAGCAAAGCCATATCTCACTTTAGAAATGTCCTAAAACTTAACAACTAATCACATAGATTATTTTTTGAACAGGCATACTCCATCTTGGGCAGTCAAATGGTGCTTAGAGACGCACCTAAAAAAACATGAGATAATTTCCTGATGTGATGATTTTATGGAAAGGAGTTTTGCATCTTAACAGTATCATCCTTATCATTTTCCATTTAATATTGTCCAATTCTTTGTAACTTAATTTAGCTTTATTGAATTAAATCTAAGGTTTTGCCTGTTTTTTTATATTAAATGATTTCCAATTTTGCTTATGTCCATTTATGTTTGGCTAGAATTTGGGTTTGTAAAACTTGTACTCAGAGTACTATTGTAAAATTTATATAAGTAATCATTTATGGTCTAGGATTGAATGAATCCAATTTTTATGTGGGAAATGGTTTCAGTTTACAAACATTTCGGTTGATTTAAATCCTTCAGTAGTGAACTGAATTCACGAATTGATGTTTCTTTGTACTTAAGAAAAGTGATTATTAAGAGAGAGAGTTCATTATTTTGACTAATCATAATTACTGTTTTATCAGAGATTCATCAGGAATCTTGAGGTTATCCTTGAGAGAAAATGCTTTTATGTATAATAAATATATGAGAGTTTTGAAAAATTACATACGCTGTTTTATTAAAAACTTGCATCGCATTTCTTTAGAAAAACTTGAGATTTGTACATTCTGTTGAGAAGATGTAAAGTCGAAGTTTTTACATTTTGTGTTCAATAATTCTTTGCTCATCTTCTATTAAAATTATACCATGCCTATGTTTTTTCTGTGATCTATATTTTGATGCTGCTTAAATGTTGGAGATGTAATGTTAAAAAATGCATTTCTAACTTAAAAATATTAACATAAAATATTTGAAAACTGCATATATGTTTTTATTTGCTTTAGTGTTATTATATTGGTGGACTTGAAGAATCTGCTACAAAAATTGTCACAGAAATGAGTAAGCCACTGAGTTGGGGACTTCCTGTTGATAAAGTATGTGAAAAATTGAAAAAGAAAGATGTCCAAATTTGTGATCTACGTTATGGTGAGAACCAAATACTTTATAAATATATTCAACTCTTTAAAAGTGTCATTCCTTTTGATTTTTATTAGCTTTTCTAACTTTATAAGTTTATATAGGTCAAGGTATAAGAATTTTTCTTTGATGAAAATTATATTTCTAATTATTGAATCATCACTCTAAAATAACTTTATGAATACTGTAATAGTCATAAAGGGATTTTTAGCTAGAAATAGATTTTTTTAGCTAGCTTTTTGTTCCATGTTATGGCCACCTAATGGGATGACTTTTACAGTGGGAAAAACAATACCTTTACGAAATAATATAACTGTATTGCTTATAGCTTCTTGTAAATCAAATTAAAATCACTACAGTATCTGATATGTGCTTTAGTCAAGTCTTAATTTATATGAGGTAAAAGGAGAAGAATTATTAATGCAGCTTTTATTGGCTTTGTGAAGAAAAGCTTGGCTTTGGATAGTTTTTGCAATTCGTTTTTCTCATAAAACAACTTTGCTAATCAATAGCAAAATTAAATCACAATCAAAATTGCTGTTTCAGATTTTATAACTCCTTGTGATTGTTCTCTTTATGTTTTGTAAAATTATAGGTATTTTTTCAGAAATTTTCTGAGTAAATTTTCCAGCTTTACAAAAGTGTAATTTTTGTGCTTTAATTTGTGATTTTAAGAATGTCATACTGCCTAATATTTTGTTATACCTTTGCATGTATTACAAAAAGTTTGTGTACTTAGAAAGCACGTTTACTTTGTTCTTTTGAAAAGACATAATTTAATATAAAGTTTGTCTTAAAATGTTCATTGTAGTTTTCACACAGTATAAAGTACTGTAAATATACATTGCTTTTTTATTTGTGCATCTTAGTACCTTTTGAAATTTCTGAACAAAGACTTTCCATTCTAAGAGAAATACATATCCTTATATCTTATGACATAATGAAATGCTACATTTCTTTAAACTAAATGTGATAAAAGTTTAAGTTTTTTTTTTTTTTAATAAGTCTATTGAAAGAATGTTGCATATCAGAAGAGATAAATGCTTTTTCAGGTTACTGTTGGATTCCAAAATTACCTTGCTTCATATACTGTTTTTAATTAAGTCATTTTATAAAATTCTGCAAGTTTTTTTTTTTTTTTATTTTTGTAATTTTGCATTTAAATAAAGTAGAAAAAATGTTAATTTGAATTACTGAGTGAGTGTAATAAAAATCTGTTTTCCAATTAATATCTTGAACTGCATGGAACTTGAATTGCATTGCATTAATATATGTGGATTTAAATATGAACTAAAATTTTTCAAAAAGTTCTGCTTATTTAAGAATTTTCCCCCTCCCATTTTAGAGAAAACAATTGATTTAAAAACTGTGGATCTTAAGAAGCTGAAAGTGAGGGACTTGAAGAAAATCCTTTCTGATTGGGATGAACGTTGTGAAGGATGTATTGAAAAAACAGATTTCATTAGAAGGATAGAAGAACTAAAACCTTTATATTCTAGAGAGGAATTGTAATTAATGGCTTTGAGTTATGTTATTGAATTATTGCTCTTGGAAACTGAATTCACTTAGTTTTCAAAAAGATATAAATGTAAATTTTATTGTATGTTAATTTATGAATTTTGATAGTCAGCATTATATTTCATTCATCAGTTATCAAATTTCATTATTTTAGAATCTTATTCAGTGCATGCATAAAACCACATTTAATTTAAAGTTTGGAATTTTTTCTTATGAAGTTTTTAGTATATAAATCTTTTGAAGTCAAAAAATGAACTTTATTTACATCTCCTGTTATATTTTTAGTACATATCATTTCTGCGCTTTAATGAATGTGTTGGCATTTCAGTGTAAATGTAATTTATTTTTGGAGACTTGTATAATAAAATAAATTCTTCCGAATATTCATTTGCATTTTAACTTTTTTGTGCATGTTGTCAATTTTTTTAACATTTAATGTACTATGTGCGACAAATATATCGAAATCTCTATAATTTTTTAAAATTCCTATACAAAAAGAATTTATTTCAGTAGAAGCTTGATTCATTTCCCCTTATTTTTAAGGCTACATAGGAATTGAACTTTTATGGATAATAATTATTTTTATGCTAACGGAGAAAATTTTGTAACGTCGAACAGTTTTTCTGAAAATATATATGAATCTAGAAATAATAGTAAAAAATAAGGTGTTAATATTCTATAGATAATCGTAAAAAATTTGTTTAAAACAAAGTTTATTTCCCATGAAGAAATTTCTGACAAATTTGATTACATATTGCGAACTTTTTGATCAAATTTTGGGTACTTTTCCGTTTCGCCGGCGCAAATCTCGCCAAGCAGACATTGTTGGCGACAACATACAGTATACACAGAAAAAATATTAACAAATGTTAGTTCTAAGAATTTTTTATTTTGAAGGCATAAACATTTTTATATGGTTTATGATTTTGTAAAAAGCCAATAAATAAAGGCAATAAATTTGTAAAATAACATTAAGAATTTACTATGTTATCATGGTTCAGCAAGAATTATTTCAATTCGTACTAATAGTTTGCTCAGAAATTATGTAAACCGTAGTGCTTTACTTCGCTAGTGCATTCTCATTAGAATGGATGAATTAATTCTTGATTTGTTTTTTTCTATATTTTCGCCTTCGGTTGAGCGGTGTGATTGCATCGAATTGACTTAATTACCGCGAATGGTCTTAAAGCATAAAATTTAATTACCTTATTAAACAGAGAATATTATCTTAAATATTCTCTGTAATTGTATGCCAGTATTGAAAGAAACAATCAATCTGGTAAGAAATAGCTATTTGTGTTTTTAAAAGGAGGCGTAAAAGGTTACCAGCGAATATATTCCGTTTGGCATCAGTTGCACCATTATTGGCGACTTTATCGTTTGCGCCGGCGAAACGGAAAAGTACCAAATTTTGAAATTTTGTTAAATCTCTTAAACAGCTCTGCATTGCCAGATATAGTAGATTTATATATTTCAGTGTTTTAGTCACACTGATTTAAAAATTATTAATTCATACTTGTAAATGAACAAAAATGTTTCATTGTTTGTGTATTGCTGTTTTCTAATAATTTATGTGTTTTATCATATACTTCATCAGCTTTTTTATAAAATTGCTGTCTGTACTTGAACTGGATTTTGAAAGAAAATTCTGAAAAAGCGTGCTAAATTCCTATAGTCGTAACAGAACCTCCCCCCCCCAAAAAAAATATTTTAGTCGCCAAAACTACGTTCTCTTGGAATTTGTTGCAAAAAATGTATCAAATATTTTTTTTTTATATATTCAGAATTTTTTCTGTATGCTATTAGACATTCTAGGTATAAATAAGTATATTTTGTTATTGAAACTTATTAATTAGGTGTTTTGTTTAGTATTTTATTTCAGATTCTTAGAGCCTGTTTATTGACAGACTATTTTATGATTTTTTATATTTAATCTCTCTTATGGATACATTGTATTAAAAGTAAAATTTTATTCTAAATAAATAAAATGCTTACTTAGACATTATTTTGCAATTAAATAATAAAAGGCCATGGAAATTTAATAGTTGCGTTATGCTCATCAAGGGTTTAAGTCCCCCTCCAGACTTTTATTAGTCAAGAGAATATTTATGCAACATTTGAGTCTGTTTTTTGAAGCTGATAATCCATTTCTGTACACAATGTTACTTAAAATTAATTTTTGTTTGCTAAATATCTACTTTTACAAGTTTCAAATAATTTTAACTTGCAGTCAGCTCGATTACCAAATTCTAGAAGTTAGTGATGTATTGATTTTGACTTCTGCCAAGAATCTTGAATAAAGTGAAGTGTGATTTACTAGAATCATTCGGAGATTGTTGTGTAAATGAGCAGTCTCCAACCGATGGTCCATGGACCACTGGTGGTCCGTGAAAATGTTTTAATGGTCCGCAGAAAAATTGAGACATTATTTATATTTTTATTAAAATTCAGTTTAAAAAATGCCGAGTAACAAGACATAATATGAATTATAAGTTTTAGTGAAATTCCTTCTGAATTTAGTGACTTTTTAGCTACTTTAGCAGGTGTATCTAGCAACATTTGAAAGTGAGAGTTGGCATCCATGGATATGCTGCTGTTATCAATAATTGCACAAATTGGAATTCTTTCCTTTTTAATTACAATTGTATGCTATTGTAGTCGTTATTAACAGTTTTTCACCGTGTCAATAGGCAACTTGATGGATTTTTACGAGAACCATCTGCATTCTTGTTTATAATTGCATCACTGGAAGTTTTTTTTTTTTTTTTTGTCTAACTGTTGATCGATGGCACCACTGCTAAGTAAGTGATGATTATTATGTTTGCAATAATTAAAAATTGGTGGCATAACACATTCAGTTTACTGATATTACTTTGTGTTTGGCGGTTTGTACTTGCTTTTCAGGAAGTTCCTTTTCAGTGATATGGAAATGTGAAGCTTTCTGCACAAGAAGGTAAGATTTTTGTACTTTTCATATAATTTTTCAATGTGAACGAAATATGTGTATCAGTGATATGTTAATAGTGTTTTAATTGTTACTCATAATAAGGGAGTAGCCTGATTTTCATAAAGGCATGCTGCCAAACACCAAATGTTTCGAAAATTATATTTAAAATTGAAAATTAGACTTACATGTATTGGGAAGTTGAATATTGGTTTTGTGTATTAATGTTTCTAAGGTCTGATTGAAAGGGTTTTTTAATTCATATTAGTGGTTCATCAAACATTAAATTATATATGTAGTGCTCCGTGAAGTTCTTGGGATTGACAACCGCTGATATAAACTACACACCATCCTAATCTATAATTTTTTTCCAACATTTTGGTAGTTTTTCAAAGCCTTTGTTTCAGGGCTAGATAAAAAGTAGGAATAAACCGTACTTAATTAAAAAAAAGTAATGCACTTGACTTAGCTGAGAAATACTCGCAATAAAGTTATTTTTGTTTATATGTGTTGTCGATTTTAAACTTTGTCTTCATATGATATCCTTAAATACGTACAGTGGGGGTCTGGATGTTTTGGACATTTGAAATTATAATTTTACCTAAGAGGATATTAAACTGGAAAGATCAGATTTCTGATATTTAAAAGAATAAAAGCCCAAAAGAAATTAAATTGACTGAATAATAGTGCAAATTTTTGTCTCATCTGGTGAAGAGATTGGTTCCAAAAATTCAGATGACTCATTTGAAAAGGAATTAAGTTATTTTGTATAATAATGGATTTTGCAAATTTGTGATCCCTGCTCTAAGTCTTGCAAATCACTGCCAATGATGTGTAAGGAAGCAGTTCCTTTATCGATTTCATTAATATTTTTATTTTCATTACTTGTAGTATTTCTGAATTTAAGCTCTGAGAGAATGGCTAGTATTTGATTTCGTAACTGATTGTGTCCTTTTTTTTTTTTTTTTTTTTGGTTCATTATTTCTTGTGGCCAATAACTGCTATTGCACATGCTTGTATTTATCATGTGGCAATAACTAAAGTATAACCCTTAACTTTTGCTTTCTTCTTGTCTAATATAATGTTATACATTCTGCAGGACTTTTCATTTTCAGTAGCTTAATAAAACTGGGCAGTTTGTGATTTACAAGTAAACAAATAGGAATGAATACATAGTTGGTTAATAAGCCAATGCAAGAGTTACTTGCCTCTAGCGGGATGCCTTCATATGTTACTTTCTTAGGCGAACTGGCTTGTATTTATGTTATATAAGAGTTTTCCTATGCATCTAGTGCATTCATCAGGAAATTAATACAGGGTAACTACTACTTTATAAAGCACTCCTCCATTCAGCTGATGATGGCCAAATAAAAATGAAGTGCAAGAGTTCATTTTTATTTGGCTTTGGACTTCATTTTCATGTAATTTGAAGATTAGTAACACAGTATTGCTTAATGTTGCTAGTTGTGTGCAATTTATGCTTTAGAATATTATAGAATCTATAATTATATATACATCTCCTCCATTGGCGACTTAATTTTGGGGCAGTTGAGCAAAGCTCAGAATTTTGGCCCAGAAATGTTTTGGGCATAAACAAAATGAATGCCATGTAGATCACAAAAATCTGGGGTAATGCATTTTGGACATAACATAGCTCTGAACTTTTCCAAGCATACTATTAGAGAGGTTAGATAGGAAAATTACTTAATTTTTAAAATTTTAATGTGGGACATATTTATTCATACTAAAATTTTAATTGTTTACTAAATTTTTAATATATTCAGACTGTATTCATTATGTAACAGGCATGGCCAAACTGCGCCTCGTGGGCAACACACGATTTTTTGGCCCCTTAAATGCAACTTTCTTAACATAAGTAGTATTCTTATTTTTTAAATATCCTAATTGGATTTTAAAGCAGAAATCATGTAACAGCACACTTTTTCATCAGTTTATAGGTTTATTATTTAATTTACCACTTATTATATGATTTAGACTTTTACTATCACTTGTGCTTCCCATTTCCTCACAAGAAAGCAAATCAGAGTATTTAAGTCGAGTGTTTTGGATTGCTAGACAAAGTGGGTTTTAGCCTCTTGAAGCCATGTTACTAAGTTTTCATCAGCTGTATTAAGTTCGTAATTCTTCGGCTTTGAGTTATTATTGCTGATATTTAAATTGTTACGCTGATGAAAAATTTTGAGCCAACTTCATGTTAAATCAATTCTGTAGTCATTGACTACTAGACTTTGTTAACTTTTGAAATTGACTGTTACATTAAGTCTCATTGCCACGAGTGGTGGTTGATAGTGTCAAACATGAGATGTGCATGTATGTTAAAGTTCTGTTGTAACAGAGGTTTAATTGTTTAAGTGCCAAGGAGCGATTTTGCGCTTCTGTGTCGCTCAAAATGTGCCAACAGCTCTAGGCTGCAAAGCTGATA